GAGGAAGGGGAGGGCTGCTGACGCCTCCGAGATGGGCCCTGCCTTGCCTGGCGGGGAGGAAACGGCCGTCACGGCGCTGCAGGCCCCAAGCATCGGTGCTTCGGTTTCGGTAGCAGCGCAGAGGGAAGGAAGCAGCTGAAGTTGGAAAAGGGAGGCTGAAGAGGAGCTAGTAAGCTTTCTACTTCTGACCATTCTCTTACTTGGTGCAGAGACTGAGTGGTGAAGTATTTTTACACCCACAGAAATCCCGTTGACTCTCTCTTCCACGAGAACTGGAAGAATGTTTTTAGGTGCAAAACCTTGCTTTTCTTTCTCCTCTTCTAAGTGATAGTTTCAGGTTTGTCTTTTAGAAAGGCATCAATCTTTGCTTTGCTGGGGAAAGACCGTGTTTGTGAGCAGTCTGAGGATCCTAGTTGCACTGTTGATCTGTATTTCTGTACTGCTTGTATTTTTTTTTAATTATTATTTTTATTCTTTGCCAACTTCCATGCTTACCTCTTTTGTGCTTGATCTGGATATAAGATGGTAGCTTAGTAGTAAGCAGGAGCCCCATGGTGGCGAGTGTTTTGATTTGGTAGTGCCCGAGGAGAAAATTATACAGTTTTTGATAGCTTCTAACATATCATGACTGATAAGTAAGTGATCTGGATCAGTATTTTTCTTAAGAAACTAAATACAGCCATCTGAGAGAATATAGTAGGAACATCAAGCGAATAGGTTTATATTTTTTGTAACCTCAGAACAATCTTAAACTCTTCTAATTTTGCATTTTCTGAAACACAAGCAAAGAGTAATTACCAATAAAGTTAATACAGAGTTCAGTCCTTCACTGAGATGGCAAGCAGATCAATCCCTTAGAATTCTGAAGCGTATGACTTTGTGGAACGATTTTTTTTGTTTTTTAACATTGCCCAGCAATGTCTAGTGTTCACCTTTGTTAGAAATGTTTTATTCCATATGCTTGGAAAGAATATTGATGGAGTAAGCTAAATCCTTAAGGTATACTGGTGTTTTATTTTTGTATTCTCTGATAGTATTGTCTAATGATACTTCTTTCGATTGGTGTCTTTTAGTAAAACCTTGATTAAAGATAATGTCAAAAGTCATCTGAATCATGGTGAAGTTTTTTGTTTCACTTTCATGTGTTACGTAATACAGAAAAGAAAATACAGGGAGATTGAGCCCAGCTATTTACATCTAGAATCCGGTCTTGATTGTAGTTTGCAATGAACATGTTGTTGAAAAAGTAGATTATGTTTCATACTGGGGAGAGCGAAGTTAGTTAAAAAGTTTAAAACCATCAGAGTGACAAAAGAATTACAATGATATAATTATACTGCTTGCAATTCTAAATTTATACAGTAACTTTTTTCTTAATGAGGTTTATCTTGTTGCTTTGCAGAAGAAGTTATGCAGTAAACTGGTTTGAAGATATGAGAGCTTTCCTTTTACATAAGGCATAAAAGAAAATGGAAGATGAGACTTTACAAGGTGAAACGGAAATGGCAAAAGTTGAAACACATGCTACTCCTGAGATCAGTCGGCGGGTATCAGTTAGTGAGTTCCTTTGCCACTGCTGTTACGACATTCTGGTCAATCCCACCACCCTGAACTGTGGGCATAGTTTCTGCAGACATTGCCTAGCCTTGTGGTGGGTATCATCCAAGAAGAATGAATGCCCTGAATGCAGAGAAAAATGGGAAGGATTCCCCAAAGTAAACATCCTCCTCAGGTGAGTGTACAATGCCATTTTTGGATTTCTAAACCCACCAAAATTAGTTGTCTGGTTTTTTGAGTTTGTTGCAGATTTTTGTGGTTTATTGGTAATCTGAAATGTTACAAGGATGTTAAATACTCAAGTCTTCCATGTTCTGCACTTGTACTGAACTGTTCAAGCACACTGTTCTGCATGGAACTAAGGGGTGGGTTGGTTGGCTTTGTTTGGGGTTTTGATTCCCCCCACCTTCTGAATTTTTTGGGGGATGAAGAGGTGGGATCCTTTTTTAGTATTGAGACACTTGCATCCTTTAAAACAGCTGGTTGTTTCCTAATAATTCTCAGTTAGAATGCTCTTTGATAATTGTGTAATTATTTCTGTAATAGGAATTATTTACAGGAAGAAATGTGGTCTTACTGCAGAACAAAGCTAGAAATACTGATTTGCTGTCTCAAATTACCCACAAGTTCTTGTGTTAATGCTTAGGTTAATAATAATAAATAAATGGTAAGATTGACAGTAGGCTTTTATGTTGTCTTGTGCTTAGCATTTGTGAATAATCAGGGCTTGCCAGTAGTGCACACAATTCTAGTTTTATATAAGAAATAAGGATTGTTTCTTAATGTGATACTTTAACTTCCTCTATCATTAGAAGCTAAGGAAAATGATGTTTGGAAGTAATTGATTTAAGTTTAACTTTACTAAAAATAAATAAGTAGTGTTTTCTTGCTTTCAAGATGAAAGTCTTTAGTAAAAGAGACTGGAGAACAAAAATCAAAAAACTAGTCCCTTTTTCTGAATGTTAAGCCTCAATGGTTATATTACAATGACAAATATTTTTCCCATTAGGGATGTTATTGAAAAGCTATTTTCTGATGCCATTGAACAAAGAAAAGAAGATATTCAGCAAAACAGTGATGTAGCACGCAGCTTAGCAACCTTCCAAAAATATGGGAATGACCAGATTCCTACAGTTCCAAACACAGGAAGAATTAATCCTCGAGGAGGAGGTTTTTTCTCAGGCGTTCTGACAGCTTTAACTTGTGTAGCAGTAAGTTTCATCTGGTTGGTTTTCTGTATGTACTTCATTAAGCATGCAATCAAATACACTTAAATTACATGCACGTAAAAAAGATTGTCAGCACAGAAGAGATTTCAGCTGAGCGGAGTAAATAAGGTAGCATTCAGAGTTGTCTGTCAGGAACTACAATTACAATATACAGCAAATGAAAGTTAGACAAATTGGGTAAAACTTCAAGATACTTTCTTATAACCTGAATAGTCTAGAGTCCATAGAACAGAAGATTCTGTATGTCAAGCCTCTTAATGCATGTTTATTTGTATTGTTAATGTATTTGCTTTGTAGGTAAAGCATCTCTTTCTTTTTTTTTAAATCTACGTATAGGTAGTTCTACTTGGATATCACTGGAGTAGCAGAGAATTTGAAGAAGATCTTCTTGTCCACAAGCCTGTTGCTAAATGGACTGCTGAGGAAGTGATACTTTGGCTAGAGCAGCTGGGCCCATGGGCTTCACATTATAAAGAACGATTTTTCCTGGAGAAAGTGAATGGAAGGTGAGAGACAAGAACAACTATCATTTGATTGGACTACTGAATAGCTTTCAGTAGGGACATTATATTGTGAAATGACCATACTTGTTCCATAGATTGTGGGAATATTCTGTTGATGTATCGGAATAAAATTCAGGGGAAGTTTTAATACTTGTAGTTGAAAACTTTAGTAGTAGATACTAAGCAAGCTACCCGAAAATTTTCTAAGAACTTTTTTAAATACTGACAATGCAGACTGAAATAATAAAAGTAAAATTCTACTAATGTGTTATCCACCTCTCCCACCTTTTCTTTCTTGTGAAAATATGCATATGCTATATGCATTGGTTGCATTCCACCCAAGAGCTCTAGGTTTGATTTCAGGAGACCAGACTAGATCTGTGAAGTACTGAAGAACTGTGTTCAATAATAGTCAACAAGCTGATAAATTTGCATGCTGAAAGCAGGCAAGAGAAAACTTGAAAAGAAGGATGTTTAAAACCCAAGCTCTGAGCTGCAGTTGATTCAGAACACTTGATATGGAATGTAATCCAAAAGGTGATACCTTCTATCAGTAGCTTACTGTTTCAGTGTGTAATTGCTAATTTGTTAGTCATATCTTTTTGGTGAAGAGGCACTGTTTACCTTCTGAATTATTCTGCTTTTGTAGACTCCTCCTAACACTGACAGAGGGGGATTTCATGAAAGAGCCTTACAGTATAGAGAACAGTAACCATAGAAAAGCTATTATGGCGGAACTGGAATGTGTGAAAACTTTAGGCGTTAAACCACCACAAAATCTTTGGGAATACAAGGTAAATTTTATATTAAGTCTGTCATGTACATTAAGTATTTTTAAAATAATATCTTTCAAAGAAAATTCTCTTAAAGCCAGGAGGAGTGTTAAGGTAGCAGAATTACCCTTGTAAAAATGCTCAGTTTAATGAACTGTTGTATTTGAAAGATGATCCTTTGAAAAAAGATTGTCCAAAAAATCTAAGAACTGGCATGTCCCTTTCATTTTATTTTTTCATTGTTTGAAACTTGATAATTTGATACCTTTCAGGCAGTAAATCCAGGAAAATCACTCTTTCTTCTGTATGCGCTGAAGAGTTCTCCAAGACTCAGTATGTTGTACCTATATTTGTTTGATTACACAGAAGCTTTCCTACCTTTCATCCACACAATTTGCCCTATGCAAGAAGACAAGTATGAAGATATTGTCACAAAACTACTAGTAAGTGTTCGAGACATTACATTTGCTACTTGCTTTAGTTATAAGCATTTTAAAACTAGCAGCATAAAAACACGATGTAATTATTTACCATTTCATCTCTTTACAAGACAACTCAAAAAAAAAAAAATCTTACAAAGTAAGTGGTTCCTTGATTTTATTGTATGTGATCACCACTGTTGTGACCGTTGCCTTTAATAAGATTGATTTAAGGCTTTCAAGGCTTTTAAATCTGTGAAACTTGATTTTTTTGAAGTTCATGTAAGTATAGAAAGCCTGTTCACTCAAAATACCTGTATTTTAACAAATGGCATTATAAGGTCTGGCTGTCTGTGATGTTTTATTCTAATATAATGGAAATTACTGGATTATAGTATTATCTACCAGGAAGTATAGTAAAGATAAATTACTGCTTTCAATGTATGAAAAAAAAATTTCAACAAAACAGTAGTGGAAATAAGCCAGTATTGTGTCTGTTTAAAAGGAAGATAATTAACAGTCATTTTATCCTAACTTACAGGACCTTAAAGATCCTTCTTGGAAACAGTGGAGAGAATTCATTGTAAAGTATTTATTTTTGCCATACCAGTTGATAGCTGAATTTGCTTGGGATTGGCTGGATGTGCACTACTGGACATCAAGATTTATAATTGTAAATGCCATGTTGCTCTCTGTTCTGGAATTATTCTCCTTTTGGAGGCTCTGGTCAAGAAGAGAATTGAAGTAAGTCTTAGTGATCTTGTTGAAGAGGGTAGGAAGTACATGGCCTTATAAATAGAAAGTAACAGTCTTACGATTTCACAGTTGCTCACTGAAATGACAGTGTCTAACCACAACTCTGAGGTTACTAAGAACATGTGAATCTGAATCCACACATATACACTAGTACTCACTCTTGAATACCTTTATTTCTGTGAATGCCTGAAAGGGTTTCTTACAGCTGGTTTTACTGCTCAGATGTAGTAAATGCAGTAATGGTCATAAGCATGTTCTTAACCTTTGGGTAAGTATTAACTTTTACCTTGATAACTGCCTTTTATGGTAACTAGTATTAGCTGTCAGCTGAGAACTAAATAGATAAGAATTTTGTCATGATATGCTTACAATATAGTTATTAAAGGATGAGTCCTCAGGATCATAAATAACTTTAGTTACACTCAGACTATTTTTGATAGGTGATCGAAATTTCTGCTTTCGGTTACTGCTTTGGCCTTAATTCAAGCATATTAATACTACTATGTAATTGCTGTGATCTTTTATTTATAGTTTTTAGAACTTGCATAGGAGAAATTCTTGGTTTGGTGTATACTGGGTTTTCACTTTCTCTGCCAGCAGCTAGGGGGCAGAATGTGTTCAAAAGAGAACAGGGTACAGGGAAATAATCTGCGACAAATCTGGAGTTTGACCGCTTTAACTTGCTGTGTTTTGTGGTTTGAATAAATTGACTTAATGCTTCCTCATATAAAATCCAGTATTACCGTATTTTCAGAAAGTTTTTTTTGAATGCAGAATGACATTTTACAGGTATCTGAGTAAGTGCTAAATAATTTGAGGCTGCAGCACACATTAGCTCTTCTTATAATGGGTAAAAACAAAATGGAAAGTTCCTCTAAGCCTCTCCCTTTCCTTTTTCACAGGACTGTTCCTCACAGAATGTGGAGACATTTCTGGAAAGTCTCAACCCAGGGTCTTTTTGTCGCCATTTTTTGGCCTTTTATTCCTCAGTTTGTCTGCAATTGTTTGTTTTATTGGGCCTTGTACTTTAACCCAATTATAAACATTGATCTTGTGGTTAAAGAAGTAAGGCGTCTGGAGACACAAGGGCAGTGACTGGCATTGGAACTTTTGAGCTGTTTAGCTTCTAAAAATGGACATTTGAAATAAGCTTTGTTTTTCTTCTTTATGTATGTGGCAGTGAAAGTGGTGGATTATGTTAACATACAAAAAAGCCTTAAGGTAAGTTACTCTTAAACCAGCTGATTCCAACTCTGAGGATGGGCTTTATTATCCAAAAGGAATTGTATATTGGGGAAAAAAAAATTACATTCCTAATTTAGCCATGTAAAACTTCTACAGTCATGTCAACCTATTTTTGATCAAATCAAACTTTTCTATTCTGTTTTGAGTATTCTGGTTATTTTCAAGCCTGCCTTAAAATCAGTGTCTTCTGAATAGCTACAGCAATTTTTTTTTTTTTTTTTTTTTAAAGTTAGCATTTCATACCAGCAATGTATTCCTCAACTTAAGTTTGCCAAAGGAAAGCTCTTCCTGGACAGGCTTGATACTGAAAGTACTTCAGGGTTTTCAGTCTGCTTTACCTTTAAAGTTATGACTGTCAAATACACAGTCTAATAGTAGAGTTTGTTCTAAAATTCCCCCTGCTGAAGGCAAAGACTGCTTGAGTTTTCTTGTCTTTTGGCAAATGTGGTGATACCTATTCAAAATTTTTTATTCAGATCAGTTCTGAATCAGTTCAGTTCAGATCAATAGTTTCCTTAATGCTCTCCTCTTGAAGTGTGTTGCTAATTCTTAAATTCAGGATTATCCCTTAAAAGGATTATTTTGGAAAGTGACCTGACAGTAATTACATCTTACTGCAATATAATGTGTGTATCTAGATCTGTGAGCAAACATTGACTGGAAGGTTATTTTGTATAATCATTATTGCCATTTGTTAATGTATGGTTTTTGATTGAAGCAAAAATTAGATTTTTCAAGAGCTTTGTCCCCTTGCATTCTACATTGTTTTGTTGGTTTTTTTTTTCATTTGTATCACTAACATGACCTTGAAATTTGCCTATGAATATTTTTAAAGATTAAAGATCTCTCTTGAAATCTTCGTCCTTCCTAAAGAAGTGGGTTTTAATTTTTTTTTTAAATTGACGTTAGCTTTGACTTGTGTAAATTTGTCCTGTAGCCCTGCTGCTGTAAATGAGTTGAAAGTAGACATTAAACACTTCTTAACAGTTCTTAAACTGTCAAAATTAGCAGTTAAAAGTGTAGTATTCAGTAATTTGTGTTACAGATTGCTCCTCCTAAAAGGTTTAAAAAACCTGAGAAATGACCCTAGCTAAAACCATCTTTACATCTTCATGAGGTATATACACTCCTGAACTTTGCAAACTCATGCTGTCCAAGTTCAAAGACTTACAAGAAGAGCAGTTGGTCTCAATAACTGCTACTTTTTTCATGTATCTGTCTTGGCGATGATTTGCACTTGCACTTTTAAACCGGGCTCTGAAGTTTTAAGGGTGGAACTTCTTCCTTGGCCTACAGGAAACTCAAGGTGTACATAGAGTAAGGAGCTTGAGCCATATCAAATGACAACTTCTTAGAAAACTGTATTTAAAAAAGTAAATACTAGGAAAAAAGAATTCTATTAGGTAATTTTTAATACAGGTGGGACTATGTAAGGTCAATGAGATGCAAAAGTTAAATTAGGCTTCATAATAAGTGTTTAATATAGATGAGAGGGCTCTTTGTGCCGATACTGTCACTTCATGCATTTCTTCTGGTTAGTTCAAAGTTAACAAATGTTAAGGTAGCTGTTTGATTTGTATCTTAGAGCCAGTGGAGGGGGGATGAAAAGTTTACAGTGAATGATACTATGAATCTGAAAAATCTGTGAATCTGAATATAAACAAAATAATTTTAAATCAGTTACTCCTTAAGCTGATAAATTCCTATTTAGTCAATAAAAGTTTACACAGAACTAATGAACTTGTTCTTAGTCCATGCACTGAAGGTAAATAAGAGGATAAATGTTTACTTTGGCCATTCTGGGGTGAACAGGCTGAGGTGGCAGGAAGGAGAATCAAGAAAGGGGAAAATCATTTGTTGTCACTAGTGTGACAAAAAAGTAATTCTAGATTTTAATGCATACAGAGTTCTCATAAAGACTGATGTATATCTAATACCTACACAAAGGCTGAATGTCACCACACATAAAGTCTGGCCACAAAAGGTATTTTGTGTGATAGGGAGCATTAGAAAAACATTTGGCAGCTTCACGGTCACATTTGCACGCCATTTTTTGACATTTGTCTTCTAGTGATTCTGCAAGAAAACACAGTAAGTTTGATGTTAGTCTGAAGTAATTAAAAATACCAAGTGGAGTACCAAGAATTGCTACCTCATGCTCTGTGTTTGCCATATAAATGGCTCTTCTATTTCAAGTGCAATAGGAACTGTATTGAACTTCCAGTTCTTTCATGTTCTTTAGGCAGAGCTCCATGCTAGGACATCTCAGCAACAGAGAATATACAAGCATGGTTTGGTTTAGCGACGGTTGATAATCGGTGGAACTATCTTGGCAGATGAAAATATAATAATTGGATAAAGACTTAAATACTATTCTTCACCTTCTTTAATAAAGGAACACTGATAACTGATTCCTCTTTAGAAAGTGCTATATGACCCTCCCTGCCCACCCTGTTGCTCTAGTGAAACTTGAGCTTGGGAAGACATTTTCCATTTCACATATGCTTTAATCTACTAAAGGATGTAGCATTAAAATTACGTATGTGAAATAAGGGATGCAAAGATATTCCACGTTCAGCATAAATCGACGACCTTTTTATTAAGGCATTCAGTAAGGAATTAGGTAAAGTGTGTTTAAAGACAATAAAATCCATGTCTGGCCATACTTGTTTTTATAACTGTAGTATTGTAACATAACAGATTTCTTGGCATGAACATTTTTTTCTACAGCAATGTATTTTGGTTTTATTGTGCCAACCCAGAAATGTGTGGTTTTTCTCTCTGCAACTGTCTGTAAACTGAAAAATCCTTGATTATATTTTGTCTGAGTATTTAACATTTTGAAAACTTAGCCAAATCTTGCTTGAGATTTGTCTAGGAGCAGACAAGCATTCAGTTTTGTGAATGAACTCAAGTTCTGCTATGAAATTGAAGTGTTTTTAATGTATGTATGTTGATTCTGCAACAAGCTACCCTAAGAACTACTCAATAGCATAACTAGCATAAACAACATGATAGGATGAAAACACCCCAAATATTAACTGAGAAGAACTATTCCTTCTCTTGTTACTGCTCCAAACTGATCTTCTCCATGGTACACCGAGGACTTTGTTTCAGCTATGTTTCTTGATGACATGCCTACTGTCTTGGCCAGTATTTTAAAATATTGTCAGTTTCTGGACTGGAACAGGAGCAGAACCTTTACAACCAAATATAGGCAGACTGTAACTTGACAGCTAATCAGGTAGTTTGCAAGAGAAGATGCTTAGTACTTTGGGAGCAGAGGAGGAAATTAACAAGTAGAGATTCTGCATGAGGTAGACACTTGGGCAAAGTAAAGGTTGAATGAAAAGGAGGAAAGGAAATACTATAAAAAACTTTCATTTGATTTCAGGTCAGGCAAATTCTAAATTGAGTTATGAAATAAGGTATTTGTGTTTTCTCTGAATGGTCTACTGTGTTGCCTTTAAACTATGGTAGTCAAACTCAGACTCAGTGTTGTAAACAAGTTTATATAAAGGTCTGCATTTTTGTGGTGCAAATAATAACCCATTCTCATGCTGATTTGCATTCTAGGTAGTAGCGTAAAATTACATGCAAAGTAACTTTGACCTAGCACCTGATTTAAAAAAAAAAAAAAAAAAAAAAAAGCAAAAAATAAAACCTAACAACAAGAAAAAACCCTGCAAATTTTAGGGGCTTGTGAGAAGTTAGTTTCAAAAAGTCTTTGAAGTGTATTGGAAAATATTTGCTAAAACTTAAGAGTTGTGAACAAATAATGTAAAAGGAATACTGCTTTCTCCTGTTAAATGCTTTTTGTTTGTTTCTTTGATACCTCTTTGTTCTTCTCTTATACTATAGCATGGCAAGTGTATTACATTCATATTTCAGAGCAGTTGAACAAAATTTATCAGGATGTGGTCAGCCATCTGTTGCAGCTTGTACACTAATTATGTACATATTTTCAAATTAACATTTTATGGCTTGTGGTCATGCTACTTCCATAAATAAACATATTCATTGAGTATATTATTACCTCAGCGTTTGAAATTGTAAGTTATAATTGTGAGTTCATTCATAAATTGCAGCCACTAGCAGTGGGCTGTGCAACTGATCAGTGGTAAGTATGCCAAAAATTTGTCCATCATAAAGTTATAAATGGTGTGAAATATTTTCTGCTAAGTATAAAAAAGATCCTTTTTAAACAGGTGTGATTTTCTCGCCTCCTGTTTGTAGTTGCTCTCCAGTTGGAGACCTGCAGGAGTAGCAAAACATGGGTTCCTCAGTGTATGTAAATGCTGAGTAAAAAGGGAGTGTTCTGGTAGTGTTTTCTGAAAGGGCAATAGAAACTTGTAGATCAGAATTTTGTTTGCTTCCGTATGTCAGTAGCTGGGAATTAAGAAAAAACTGCATTCAGTTGATTGGCATAGCTGTGCTTTCTGGAGGCACAGCTTACCCTGGCAAAAAAGTCACAAAAGGAAGGATGGTAAAGTAAGAATTTTACAGTTAATTAGTAAAATGTCTTTCTATTAAGTCAATCAGACAATCACTACGAGTAAAAACAAAAACAAAACAAAAAACAACAAAACACCAAAACAACAACAACAAAAACCCAACTGAAAACTAGAACTGTTCACTCACCACACACAACATTATTGTCTTCACATTCCCAGTGGTAATTTTCTGTCTTTGGGTGACAACCTGCTTGTTCTGCCTTACCATAGCAGCAGTCATGGTTAAAGCAGCACCTGAGAGGAACAGAAATGGGCTCATTTTTATTCATACTGTGGTGATTTATGGTCATGCAATCTGGATGGGTTTTATCAGTGCACTTTTACAGGCTATGAAATAAACTAAAACTGTTTGCTCAGTGTCATGAAAATTTGGAAAATTGTCCAAAATTATTATTTCAAAATTGTTGTCATAATTGGGACAATGAATTCATAGACTTTCTATCATACGGCAGAACTGAACAGTAAGCATATTTTAATGCTTAAAAAAAAATTACTCTTCTGGTGTAGTCATTGCAAGCCCAGAATAGCAAGTGAGGGAGGTAACAAGGATTTGAAATTAGATAGCTTGTAAGTTTTTGCTGCAAACTAATTATACTTTTTTTTTTTTTTTTTTTTGACTCAGTGGAAGAACAGGATGTATCCACGAGCTCTTTGCATTTAGTAGCCTAAAACTCATATTACAATAGGCACATGATGTTTTGATGGTGTTTAGATTGCCGGAGGAATTTGTGTCTGCAATAGAAAAAGTTAATGCTGTGAGCTCTCACTTGCAATTACTGTTTTCTCTTATGCTTATTAAATAATTACTTGGTAATTCCACAAATCTCCATTTAAAGATCCTGCAGTATGTAATGGTTGAACAGCACATGCCATAAAGTAGCTTAATACATCCATTTCATGTGTTGAAATAAAAAAATTGACTTCTAGTTGAGTCTTTGTAGCAAGGTGAACCAAGCAAGAAATACGGCTTCTTTTGCCATAGTGCAGTCTATCTTCATGTGTTTACCAAAATTTTTAGAATTACTTTAGACCTTTTTAAACATTTTAAATAAAAAGATGTTTAAGGATTTTACATTTTAGCTTATGAAAGCAATATATGATTGTCTCAATTTGAAAGATTTTTTACAAGTGGCAGGAAAACATCTAAATTGCACTAACTGTTTGAATAATTCCATTACAGATGTTCCTACTTCAGATTAAGTATTTCTGTATTTTCACTTAACTTGTTTTCGGGCATAATTCTGAATGTAAACAGCCCACAAAGTAGCTCATAACTTTAAGAAATCAAACTTGGTAAGAATGTTTGTCTCTACATTCAATTGGTGCAATTCTTGATTCTGTTCAAATGCAATAGAGTAAGTACACTCAATTCTGGCTTGTTCTTAACATTCTGTAGCTATTTCAATCCAGACCACAAATAGCTAACCTTGTTTTGTGAAGAAAGCAGCTTCTTGTTACTGTGGGACTTTGTAAAAGTGAAAAAATGGCCTACAATGAAGGATTGGCAAACTGCAGGTTCTCCATCATCATCTTCAGCTATACAGATAACCAGAACTAATAATAGTCCCTTCTTTTTGTGTGTGTTCCCGTTCATTAAAGTAGCAACTACATTCTACAAAATTGTCTTTAAAGAAAACAGATTACACATACATATGACTGAAATATGTAGGCAAAGATTCTAGAAGTTTTAGGTCTAATCATGACTAGAATCTTCATGGAAAAAAAACCCAACTGATCTGAACTTTCCGTATATTCTACCCTAAATGTGAGTATCAGATGTTTGTTTTCCTTTTAATTTACAGTATACCTGTCTGATACATCAGAACTTGAGATGTCACATATTGTGGGGAAATGTATCATTATAATGATAAACTTGAAAATATAAACCCTTTATTTAACTACTATAACCAGAAAATCATCTTCCTGTCAGCTAATGTTCAATTATAAATTAAATTGATCGTAGTCAATATGCTGAGTTTTAGTACTAAATAAAAAGGTCTGGTTTTAGAATTATTTTAGTAACAATTCATAGTTCCTTTTATTTAGAAGTTATTTTTCAACAGCTTGAATTTTGCATAATTTTCTGTGTGTTACTTTGAATACTAATAAAATGGGATGGATGACAGAAGAATCAGGATTTTTCAACTGCAATTTCTAAAAAAATTACTTTTATAGATAGCTTGAATGTTTTAGCTTTAAAGCTTCTCCAAGAAGACTAGTTCTTCAGCTCTTGGCCAAACAGCGACAGCAAAGAAACTCCCATTGTACTGTGAATCTAATATTAATGCAATGAGAGCTTGAGTTAAAGGCAAAGAAGACTCATATAGATCTACAGTAACAATTTTAATGCTTCAGAGTTTCTTAGCAGTCTGAGGTGTGTTTAAACTCAGTTCTCTCACTGATGTTAAACAGGCCTAATTCATATTTTAGTCCTTTTACTCTGTCTCTGAATGCATACATTCAGCACTTATTCACATAGTTACTCTTACCAGTCTACTCTGTCCTTGGGCCATCCTTTTCCTCCCAGACCACAGTAGCATCCGTAACGTAGGTAGGCAAAAGGAGATCGTCCTGTAGTACATCTAATGGCTCCAGCTAATTCAATAATTCCTCTTCGATTTCTAAAATGGGCTTCCCCAGAAGTGCCTTTATGAAATGTGGGAAAAAAACATTTATTTTTTATTGAATCAAATATACAGATATAAAACAGTTTGCTTTGATACTGAATGTCAGTACTTGAAAATAATAGAGTTTTCTTTTTGACGCTTTGGGGCCACGCTGCTTGACCCTTCTTACCCCAATCTATAGTGAGCAAAATACTGAGCAATGTTCTGAATAGCTGCAGTGGTTTCCCCCCATCAAGGCAGCAGACCTCAGTCATTTCCGGTCTTAAAACTGGCAAGGACTAACTAGCATGTGTGCTGTGGTCTAGGTCCACTAATCTAAGATCAGATGCCCTAAGCATTGCAGTATTTTCTCCTTATCATAACATGGAATTTTGCCCATGTTGTTATTTTGTAGAATATAAAACTTTACGTTTTAACAAATATGTGCTGTATGATGGGGTTCTGGTTTTCCTCATTTTTAGACAAGCCAAGTAACTGGCAGGGGTGATGGGGTGGGTGTAGAGTAGGGAGATGGGCGTGTGCTTGGAGTCAGTTCCAGGGAAATAAGAAGGAGGGTTGCTTTTTTTTTTTCTGTTTCATTTTGTTTGGGTTTTGTTGTTGTTTAAGGGATTCCCACAACTATTTTTCCAGAACAAGAGTGTATTTAGGAACTTTAACTATCCTGTGCCAGAATTAAAGCAGTAGGTCCAGGGCAGCAGGTAAATGCTGAGACACCAGACAACTTTTTTCAGAGCTTTGTATCATCCTTCAGGTTGAGCTAATGCATCAAAGACCCTGAATAATAATAGGCAGCATTTACTTGCAGTGCAGGCTCCAAGCTATTTGCAGCAATTTTTAAGAAGTTGGATGAGTACAAAACAAATTATTGGAAGGCTGCTGATTAGAGTTGTCTTACTAATTGAACTAATGATTTATTTTGATACAATAACAATTTATAAACCTTAATTCCCAGTACTGGATACATATTGGGAAAGACATTAAGCTTTAATATCTGTGAGAGAGAGAGACCGCAGAAAAAATATTTAGACTTTGTCACTGAAAGCTTTGATATTTATTTTCTTACAGAACAACTATATGATTATATGGTTTGTATATAATCTGTATAATCATATAATCTATTGTAATAGACTAACTAATAGACTAATCTATTATAATGGATTATATGATTAACTATAATCAGCTAATGGAAGATCTGCCAGAAAAATGTTGTTCCCAGCACAGTTGAGTAACTTGAAATGCATGGGATCCTGGTGACTTCCAGCACTTGTAATTTTATGGAACAAAGGGATTTAAACACCTCATGAAATCACCTCACTAAAATTCATTTGTATACAAGAATGGTAAAAAAAGCTTTAGGAAGAATGTTTGTAGCTAATCCTTACTTACGAAAAGAGCTAGGCTTCCTAAGACAGTACTTAATACTTCTCTGACTGGTGACTACTGCCAGATCTTGTTCCCTCCTGCTTTGTGGGCACGTGATCTAGGAAAAGGAGAGGATGTTGAAACAAGGGTGCTTAAACGTGCATACGCATCTTTGGCCATTGATTAAAACCAATCGTATCTTGAGGAGTTAAAAAAAGCTTCCTTGGCTATGCAGTTGCTCACAGTTTCATTTAAAAACTCTTTCACTGGCACTAAAACTTCCTTGCTAAGATAGTGAATAGTATCTATGGTGTCATGGCTCCTGTTCCAGGATATTATCTGCTGTTTAGTTAAATAGGTTTTCTGGTAAAAAGATCCTCTCACGCTTTCCCAAAGGGTCCATAAGGTGTACTGGGGTGGACCCTTTGGAACCTGTAGTTCTAGGTGTCAAAATAATAGTCATGTTGTGGAACTGACACATGATATCTCCCATTCCATTGCAGCTCTGCGTATATGTTTCAGCTCTGGGTAGCAGAAGCATCCATATGAGTATAACCAGATTCTTATCTTTACCAAGTGTTGAAAGTGTTATTTTCGTGGTCAGTTCAGGTTCAGGAAATTCCCAGCTGAAAAAAAGACTGCAATAAGGCTGCAGCACTACAAATGAGAACTGCTTATACTCTTACGTGTTTAGTAAGGTTTGGCTAGACTCCTGTAGCTAGCCAGTAATGTCTGAAGGAACTATGTGAGCAGTTAATGGCAAAGCTGGGTTTGCTGTGCATGGTGTTAGTGATTCTGAAGGAATCCTGGAAGAATTTTTACATTGTGTCTCAGTTCCTGGCACCTGGGGAAGGATGGTGTAGGAGAGCTACAAGACAGGAAGAGGAAACGAAAAATTTCCAAGTCATATACCTGGTTGCATCAGTGAATTGTTTGCTAACTTTGGACAAATCCCAGTCCCTTGATTTAAATCCATGTAATGTAGAAGTGATGAACTGTCTTCTGCTGGAGGAGCTTGGGTATAAATCTTTAAAATGTGCCATGTAAGTTAAAGAAAACTATGTGAACTTTTTATCCTTGCAATTTATTTGTGTTGCAGCATCTGGACATCCAGGTATAAACCGAGATTGTTGTGCTGTAGATACTCTGTCCCAACAGCTTTGTAACCCGAGTTTCATAAAAGTGACGAAAGACGATCCTAGAACACATAGTAGAACTATGAAAACAGTATCAGCACGATGTTGGTAGCATTGGTGCATTAATAATAAAACTTCCAAAGTATTTTATCAGAACTTCTGTGGAATACAGTCAGAGAGTGAAGTGACATTCTGCATATTTCCAAATGTTTCATGATTAAGGTATGTTTTTAAAATCTTCTGTGTGGTTTTGTTTGTTTTTATGAAGACATTGCACTTATCTTTATGGACAAGAGTATTCCTATAGGTTTGACTATGCATTTCTGAAAGAGTAGTGTCGTCCCTCTATGTCTAGTCTGTTTTTTGTTTTTGTCATGCAGATTGTGTACAGCTCTATCAAATACAATATTGTGGGTAGGGAAAAATTGCATTTATTTTAGTTTTGTTGCTTTATAACTTGTACGAAGAAACGTAAACCACATTGTTTTGATATCTAGATGTCACAGGAAATAAGTACAACTAAGGGTACAAAAATAATTTACAGTTAGACATTTGAGTCTAGTCTTGTTATGGCTTGTAACATTTAATTCCAGTGTTTATTGCATATAAGAATTGGAACTTCGTTAAAGTTTCAACTGTTCTCATTCTTGAAAGAAAACTTTAAAGATATATTTGGGAGAGGAAAAAAAAAAAACTTATGAGAGATCAGTCCATAGCCGCACTCAGATTTAACTGGATGTGATGTAGCTTCTTTAAAAGTTGAAGGGAAAAACCAAAACCGTACCAGTCCTATGGCTATTCTAGGCACCAGAAAGTAGCAGATGGGGAATGAAAAAATAAAAACAAATCTATGCTCTTGTCTTTGTTATTGTATTGTATAAGCTAGAGAGATCAAAAGCCATGACTTTCTGAAGGCTGAAATTAAGTAAACACTGAAGACAGCGTGAGAGAAAGTAACAGTAAGTAATCACATTATATTTGTGTTGTGCTTGATTTTAAAACTGCAATTCCTGTTGCCCAAATTGGAGGCCTGCCACATTTGCAGAGTCTGAACTTCATCGTACTGTCTTGGTTTGTTGACTGTATAAGCACTTGAGAGTTCAGATTGTGCTAAATGCTGTTCATTATTATGTCTTTGCAAGATGTTTTCCACTATACCTTCCTATTCTCCTTTTTTCCTAGTTTTCCGAATAGCTTACAATAGTATTTAAAAATCCAGTCCCTTAAATTTCCATATGCATAGAGGGGAAAATAAAAATTCAGAGAAACATGAATTTTTTTGTGAACTGTCATATTTCCTATAACATTTTACTCTTTGCAATGGGCACGATGCAAACATAATAATTATTTTTGCAGATACACATTTTTATTGAGATGCACAGCTTTGCATGATTATGACACATAACATTAATCATTAGCATCTAATACAGACTATGATGTTATGTGGGTTTGAAAAGAAATTTTAAGCCATTCTTTCAAAGACCGAGGCTACAGAAACATTTTTTTGATGTTAAGTATGTGTAAGATGTCCTTTAGTGATACTTCCTTTGTACAGTCATAGTGCTCCAGTAGTTCAGAACTTGAAACCCGGGAATATGCAGACTTTCTGCTGCACCTCCAAGATCTCGCCAGAAGTGGAAACTTTTGAACTGTATCCATTATAGAAACTTTTTTTTTCCCCCTTAGGTTTTTTCCTCTCATTTCATAAGCCATCAGGAATGGCCTTTTTGCCTCGCCTTGTTGCCCAGACTACTGATCTGCTATCTCTACAAACTGTGGTCACATGTAAATTTTTTTAAAGGATAAATTTGGCTGTTTTGGTGCTGTGGACCAAGCATTGAAGAACAGGTAAATTGCATTTGGCTTCCTCCTTCCTGCCTTTGGAATGGGTGACTGACTCGGAGCTATCGGACCGAAGCTAGGCTTTCTGTAATGATACTCTAGGCAGGCAGAAGCAGTGAAACAGTCTTTCATTGCTTTCCTTAATGTTCTTGCTGAGGTTTGTGCTGTGCAAAGGATGAAGTCTGGAGGATGATCAAAATACGGAAGGAATAACAGGGGCACGCTTGAGGTCAGGAAGCAGAACTGGGGCAGTGAGCTTGGTGGGACCTTAAGTTGGCCCCATTATGCAAGCACCTTACCTTACGGTCTTTAATCATGCGATTGCTTTTTTCCCCACCCCAGACCCTGCTTCCTTCTGTGCACAGAATCTGTTATAAGAATGAATGAGGCTCTTGTCCCTAAGATCCTTCTGTTCATAAGATTTGGTTTGGTGAATTTGCAAGCTGTGTAGGACTGTATAGAAAAAGTGCAAGAAGACAAAAGAGAATCTCTTAATTGAGGCAGCTGAATGCTATTCTGGAAAACTGGATTTTATCCTTACAGCTGTCACAAAGGTTCAGTCTGACGTTAGTTTAATCACTTTAAAGCAATGCCTATCGATGTTTACTTATAGTATGCTCCCAGCCTGCTGAAAATCCTGGGGCTGGAGTATCAAACTACTGCAATACTCGGTGAGAGCCAGGCTTTGAGTAGTAGAAGTTCCGCATAAGTTTAAGTAGTTGTAGGTAAAATCGGGTTCTAATGTGTCACCACAGGAACCTAAAATTAGTGGATGCTTTTTTATGTCAGCCCACTTACTTACCTGAAAAAAGGGGATGATACTATAGTTTCACAAAGTGTGAAAGAACTAAGTACATTCAGATACTATACTGATGAATACCTTGGAAAATCTATGAGGAAATGGACTGTAAATTATTACAACCAGTCTTTAATTCTGCTTAATAAATAGGGCACAGGAGACAAAAAAATACTTCCAAAGTGAGTAGTTGGCTATGCTCAGGTATGAGGCAGGGGTCCTTTAATTACATTCTCACATCATAACTTATTCATAGACTGACTCATTCTTTCAGAATAACCCAGTTACGGTTCTGTAGGCAATTGCAGCTCTAGCAGTTCCTAGGTTTTGAACTGCTTTGTAACTTAGGTGCTCTGAGATAGCGCGCTCGCACCCGCAAGAAGAGTGTGGGTAAATGCATTGGCTTTGTAAAAAGATCATTATAACACACGCAAGCTGCAGTCTGACTTTCAACACTGAACTTTTTAACACACTTGCACGTTATCGATGAACAGTAGCAAAGCGATCTGAGACCTGAAACCCTCCTGCAACACTCCCACGTTGCACGTGTAAGCTGAGAAAGGGCCGGGCTGTCAGCGCAGCTACAGCCTGGAGCGGCCAGCCGGCGTCTCGCTATTTTCACACCCAAGTCATGCCCAAGCGCGTTAGACAATCTCTCGAAGCGCTTCTTTTCAAAGCGCGAAGGTAGTCACTTGCCATGGTCGCTTCTCCGAACGCTCCTTCTTCTCTCCCCTCCTCCTCCCCCCTTCCCCCAGC